CATGCCTATTGGTTGATGCCCTGCATTCCATTGTGATGACTCATGCCCAAACGTGGTAAACAAGGCACACTAACGGACAGGTAATACATTTGCTATAACACAGCCAAAAAACTCAAATAAAACCATTCTAAAAGCCTGTATCACAATAATTTAAAAACCGCCTAGGGGTATTTGCCCACTGTACCTCCATACCAAATTTCAGGACCTTGGGCCCTAAAATGAAGAAGCTAAATCCATTTAAAAAATGGCAGGAGAAGAAGGAGAAGAAGGAGGAGAAGAAACATCAGAAAAAGCAATATGGGTTCACCACCACTTCGTGGTGTGGTGAACCCATAATAACTTCAAAATTATATGATAAAAGATAACTGTCTGGAAGTACAAGTATGTGTTAAACTATGTCTGAACGGTTTGAGGAGGATAGCTGATACATGTAGAGATGCATGTGCCAATGGCAATGGTAAAGACGTTAAATGTGGATTGCTCATTCCTTGAAAAAGACTGGAGTTGTACAGTCGAAAATTTGGGTGAGTCCAATTTTTTGTTGTGTTGGAAATTACAGTTTAAACTTACTTCATAAAGACGTTAAATGTTGCAGGTACACCGTCATGCTATTAGCTTCGAGCACTTTGCTACCATGTATTCGCTTCTTCTTTTAGTCCATTTTGCTGAACAAAATAATTCTTATCAATTAAGACATGATTTTGGGTGGTATTCCGTTTAATGAGAACTAGGAAAATGATTAGATTTTTGCGAAATTTTGATTAAAGGCAACTGTTTTTCTGCATTAAGTGAGCTTGGTGCCAGATGGTACGTCGATTTCTGGTCCCACCTCATCGAATCTATCAACGGCGTAAAGAACAAAGACAATAAGTATTGGAGATTCGAGGACGGCGAGGGAAATGCATTCGAATACGGTAAGACATAGCTATATAGGAAAGTCATGTATTTGCTGTTTACCCAAAATCCATCATTCAATTTTTCAAAGTTTGTTTCTATCGTTTTAATCTGCTGCAGGGGTGGACCGGATCCCCTTGCGCGATGGGGACGTCATCAAGTTTCGCTACGTCAACTAAACACAGCGCTGGCTGCTACGAACAGATCCTTTGGTGGCAAAGATTTAACCAACAAGACAGTATTATCTAGTCGGGCAGACAGTATCGAATTAGCCAATTCGATACTGTCTGGCCAATTTGAGGGTATTACCTTGAAAGTTCATCTGTGTTGGTAGACGCCATCATGCCGTAATTTGAGGTTTAATTTCCAATACAAAGAATTGAACTTCACCAAATTTTCGACTGTACAACTACAGTCTTTGACTAGAAATGATCAATCTGAAACGTATAATGCACTGGTCACGTGTGTCATCTTCATAACGTCACGGAAGCGGCAGATTGCTTTTCCTTGACGAAGACTGGAGTTATACATTCGAAAAAAAATTGTGTTGGAAATTACAGTTTAAGTATTTTGTCTGTTGGTTTCAACTTTGCCACCGAAAGATCTGTTAGAAATTGAGTACTAGCTTCTGCGCACGATGACTCCCCCCAGAAGGAGCAACGAATCGCCATTCTTAAATTGCATGATCACGCACTTTGCATAAACTGCTTTCTCGGCACTCGTAATTGCACGTACTGGTCTGAGTCATGGGAACATTAGAACAGCGGCAAAACACAATTACATCGATAACAAATAGTCAGAAAAATCATATGTAATCAAGACTTTGTTATTGTTTGTCGGTCCATGGTCATTCCTTTTGGCACTAAATATCGCAATAATTATAAGCTATGTCGGTGGAAAAAAAAACATGTTGTGCTATAAAATGTTTCGTGATAAATTTTTTTTCAAATTGTGGTTCACTGCTCTTCTGAATTGCAACAATAATCACACGACAGTTTCACGTTCTGGTACCAATAAAGTCTCATTCTCAAAGTCCCCCTTCACTGTTTGTGGTGAGTCCTTCGGCTCCTCCGTCGTGTCCGCCGGCCGTTTCTTCCTGAGCCGCAGGAGGAACGGCAAGAGCCCGGCCAGCAGGAAACCGGCGCCTGCTTGGAGGAACGTGGCGTCGTAACTTTGGGTCTCGTCGAACAGCCAGCCTAGACAAAGATAAATTTAGAATTATTTAGTGATACTTTTGCTGCAACGAAAACCAATGACTTACGTTACCTTACGTCTAAGGACCACAAGAGGCTAGAAAGTAAACTTATAATTTGATTTATAATAATATAAGTCCTATAATTTCTCACTGGTATCTCTTATACCTTAAGTCTACTTGCGCTGATGCGAGGGGCCTATGTCAGATGTATGAAAAGGAAGGTCTGCAAAAGCCGTTTCCATGTTTCTACTGTCGCACAAATATTCCATGACGTTTCAAATCTTATTCCTCTACACCAACCTGCAAACGGTGGCCCAGCCAGCGACGCAAACCCCTGAATTGACATCAGGATTCCAATTGCACTGGGGAGACGCTTCGGGCCAACCAGTTCGGCCAGACAGGTCAGTGATGTCGGAATGAACGCGCCGTAGAACGCCCCGTGTGCGATAGCGTACGCCACGAGCGCCGGGTACGTCTTGGCGAGGGGAGACAGGAGGTTGGTGATGCCCAACAGGCACAGACTCAGTCCGTACTGGTCAAACCGACTGAAACGTGGGTTGTCCGGGATGGCCCCGACTGCTAGCCGACTGACTAAGTCTGCGATTGAACTGACTGAGAGAAGGGACGCCGCCGCGTAGTCCTCGATCTGAAGCTGCTTGGCGCGAGGGATGATGTACAGCCCTGGTACGAGGAGGCAAAACTGCATCATGAACAAGGACGCCAAGAACAGGGCCACGGAAGGTATCAAGATCACCTTAAAGTCCATCTGTGCCCAAAACGTTTTTAGAAAATTTGTCGCAGCTGACGAACACTTCTTTGCCGTGCCAGGTTCCAAGACTGTGTCTGAGTCGTTCATTCTGCTTTCTCCAGGACCATTGTCGACCTTCCTGTCTCTGTAAGCTTCGAGAGGTCTGATCAAGGCTCCGGCTACAATCATATTCAGCATCATGCCGCCTATAATAAGCAGAGCGCCCTTCCAACCGAACTCGTCCATCAGGTACTGGAAAAGTGGCGGAAACGACATGGAGGCAACGCTAGCTCCAACCACGGTCAGGCTGTTGGCCATGGCTCGTCTTTTGGTGAAATACTGCCCGACAATCGCCGTAGCAGAACTAAGAGTGAGGGCGTATCCAAGGCCTGTTTGGAACAAAACAAGGCTTGCTAATACTATATATGACCGCTGTTTATATGTGGCAACTTTCAGTTGGAGCTACCATTTTCTTATGTTTTTATCTTAGGTGGACATAAAGTATAAAATGTTCACGTGACATCGGATGTATCTACGTTGAAAAAAAGTGCTTTAGTTGTAGCAGTCTCATGCCATAGACTGACCTGTCAGACAGCCAATTCCCAAGTACAAGTGAAACATGCGGGTTGCAAAACCACTGATGATGTAGCCGGCTGCTGAGAGCACCCCTCCCCACATGATGGTCGGGCGGAAACCTATGGTGCTCGCCAAGGCAGTGCCAACCGGAGCTATAAGGAGAAAAGACAAAAGGCACGTGTTGGACATACGCGGAAACAACGGGCCCAACAGTACCTTGTAAAAAGTGGTCCATTAAGTAATCATATGGTGTACGCGGAAATAGCGGACCCAATAATAGCCCATAACAGTCCCCCAAAGTCACATAAACCCCGCGAGTGCCGGTGACCTCAAATAGAACACGCGTTCTGTTCGAATGTCCACCGGTGGCGGTGACCACAAATGGAACATGCGTTCTGTTTGGAAGACCTGTACCCAACAGTAGAACATAAAAGAATTCCATGAAGTAATTTTCTTAGGTCCTTTTGGTGTTTTGAAACTTAAAAGTTTCAAGAAAACCTCTCGTTGATACTAAACCGTAATTCAAGTGCCGCCTTGATTGCAGATTATTGTTCCACAAAAGGCGTAAAACGAGATGGATAAAAATATTTGTTTGCACGATATTGTAATCGTTATACAAGCACATGCCGTAAAGTCGTTAGTTAAAGCTGAACTAACCTAGGAAAAGCGTAACGCTCATCAGGATGGAGCTTATCCACGCCGTCTCCGCGGAGCTGGCGTGAAACTGTTGGCTGAACGTCAGGAAGAAGACCCCGAGAGAGCGGAAAATTCCGGCCGTGCAGCCACTGACGATGAACCCGGCCAGAACCACCATCCAGCCCCAACCGCCGTCCGGAGGCTGAGGGCGGCTCTCTGGGTTCGCCATGGTTTCTCTTCAGGGGGGGGGGCTAACTTGAACTTGGAAAGAAAACGACACGAGTCTCCCTCGGAGGAGGAGAAATTAATTTTCCTGGCTACCCTCTTTCTGCCTTCAAGCCATCATGTCAACGTTAACGCTTTGGCTTAACAATAAAACACCATTGATTAGCTTCTGGGGGCGTAGCAAGGGCGAGCGCCTTTGTCAGCTTGTTTATGTCACAGGGTAGATTGGAGTCCAGGGGGATCCGGAATCCCCCTAGGGGAGATTGGAATTCCTATCTCTCCTAGGACAGATTGGAATCCTGATACTAGATCCCAATCCAGTAGTAGAAATACTAGAACTCATAGATTGAATCATTTCACACCTATACTTTCAATCAATTTCAGCATACGCAAGCCTGTTACTATTATATATGAACCAGTATCACAGGAAGATCTACCAGCCGACACCTGGGTCGAGCACTTCAAAAACATTCACAGCAAATCCAGATTAAAACAAGAAAACTTTGATCATAACTTTGAAATTGAAATTTTGCGCAAACTTCAGGCACTCCAAAAATATAAGCCAAGTCCAGGACCCTTGGACCAACCAATCACTGCCTCTGAAATTAAAGATGCAATTCACGCCCTCAAAAACAAAAAAGCCAGCGGGGATGACATGGTCACCAATGAAATGCTGAAAGCAGGAAAACATATCCTATTAACCCCTCTCTTAAGACTTTTTAATAGTACCTTCTCATCAGGAATTTTCCCCAAAATGTGGTCGAGAAGTTACATCGTCCCCATCTTCAAAACAGGGCGAAAAGACGACCCAAACAATTATCGTGGAATAGCCATTTCCAGCTGCTTAGGAAAACTTTTCTCCTCGATTTTAAACAAAAGACTTTCAACCTTCCTCGAAGGAAAAGAAATCACAAAACCAAACCAAACCGGATTCCGAAAAAACTATAGGACAGCAGATAACATCTTCATATTAAAAACCCTTATCTCCAAATACACACAGTCGGGAAAACGATTATTCGCATGTTTTGTCGACCTGTCAAAAGCTTTTGACTCCATTTGGCACGAGGGACTTTTATTCAAGCTTCTTTCCAATGACATGTCAGGCAAATTTTTCGATGTAATTAAAAACCTATACAACCAATCTGAGGCCAGTGTTAAAACTAAAGAAGGCCTAACTGAAAGTTTTCCCGTTGAAATTGGTGTTCGCCAAGGATGTGTTTTAAGCCCAACCCTATTCAACCTATACATCAGTAATCTCATAGATAAACTCAACGCAGAAAACCTAGACGCACCCCTACTAGAACATTCCAAAGTTACTAGCCTCTTTTATGCCGATGATATCGTCTTATTATCGGAAAGTGAGCAGGGATTACAGAAAGCAATAAACACCCTTGGACGGTACTGCAAACAATGGAAGTTAACTATCAACCTGGCAAAAACTAAAGTAATGATATTCAACAAAAGAGGCCTCTTATTTTCTAACCTTCGTTTCTCACTAGATGATAAAGAGATAGAGATAGTTCAATCATACTGCTACCTAGGAGTTGTGTTTACAGCAGGATGTACATTTAGCACTGCCATGAAAAATTTACAAAAGAGGGCCCTAAGAGCAATGTTTAACATCAGAAGTACTCTCGGAGAAACCAGATCCTCTGTATCATTACACTGTAAACTGTTTGACACATGTGTTGTACCGATATTACTGTATGGCTCCGAAGTTTGGGGCAGTAACAGTTTGAACGACAAATCGCCATTAGAAACTGTACATCTGAAATTTTGTAAATACATTCTTGGTGTCCGTAGGAACGCCAGTAACTTCGCATGTAGAGCGGAACTAGGACGTTTCCCCTTACAGATAGAGGCCCATTGCCGAATGTACAATTACTATTTTAGACTAGTTAACGAAGTGCTCCCAAGTAGTTTACAATATGAAGCCTATACAGTACAACAAGAGCTAGTTCGCCGAAATATACCCTGCTGGTTATCTGATGTAAAGAAACTGTTAGAGGAGTCCGGTTTTGCCTACCTGTATTTAAACGGTCACTTAAACACACCCTCCCATCTAAAAGAACTAAAACAGAGATTGAAAGATATCCACATCCAAAAGTTCTACTCAGAACTACAAGCAGAAGGACGAAGAGAAAACCAAGGCAACAAATTAAGAACATACAAAACATTTAAACTGAACTATGAAAGAGAAACATATTTAAACATTACAAACTTCGAACATCGAAAAACCATGTGCAAACTTCGTATAAGTGACCATCCCTTACATATAGAATCCGGTAGGCACAACCGTACCCCTCTGAACGATAGGACGTGCGAATTCTGTGATCATCTATATGTAGAAAACGAGTCGCACTTTTTACTTGATTGTAGTTTATATGAAAATGAACGTAAGGTGTTATTTAATGTACTAGATTTAGACAAGAAATATAAGAAACTGTCCAAGCAAAATAGATTTATACATCTTATGTCAAGCAGAAATGAACACATTGTAGAAAAAGTGTGTGATTATATCAATAAGTGTTTCAAGAAGAGAGAAGAAACCAGAACCAAAAAATAGACAAACAGTAACTTTAAGAATTATGTAGTACTTAGAATCCTAGTATAGAACTCAAACATACATTATGTATGTATGCACCACATGTATTTTATACTGTGACAAAGCATGTATGCATTTAGCCCGTCTGGGCAAGGATATGCAATAAAGATCATTTCATTTCATTTCAGGTAGGTGAATTACTAGATTGGAGTCAAGTTTTGTCCTGGCATAATTTGCAAGTTCTAATTCAATAATTGCAATCTTTCCTAACTTAGACCCCAATCTATTTCCAATTGGCAAAATAATGTGAAAATAACAAAACTGGAAAAACTGGTTTTTGAGTCACTATCTCACAATGGCCTGAGTCTGATTTACATATTCACTTATTAGTACCTATGCTGAAATTGAATGAAAGTTTAGGTGTGAAATAACTGAGTCTATTTTCCCAAGCATTTTGATGCAATCAGAATTTCTCCTTTCAAAATTGGACGTTGTCCTGTAAGAATTCCCACTTTTCCTAGGACAAATTGGAATTCCTATTTCCCCTAGGAGAATCTGGAATCATCCTAGAAGAGATTGGACTTCAGATATTCAGATCCAAGTTTTGTAGAAGAAAAACTTGAATTCCAGTCTCCCCTAGGGGAGATCGGAATCCCTATCACCCCTAGGAGGATTCCAGATTCTCCTAGGGGTGATAGGGATTCCAATCCCTCCTAGGGGAGACTGGAATTCCTATCTCCCCTAGGAGGATTCCGGATCCCCCTGGATTCCAATCTCCCCTGTGATAATTGTCAACATGGGACAAACCACACAAAGTCTCAACGGTCAATTCTCATGAGCTGAACTGGTGATAAACACGTAGTTGCACTGACATTTTATCAACTTGGCGGGTTTTCTGTTTCCAGGGTTTAAAACGATCTGTAGCTCTTGTTTTGTACTGCGATGTCTAAAGCAACAGATAACACCTCATTGATAACGGACAATATTGCCGTAAAAATGAATATTGCCGTAGTTGAACGTATTCATACCTTGAGGGCAGCACGCCAGGCCAGGGTTCAGGTACGGAGTGAACTCTGATCCCCAGTGTAATCTACGGTTGCTGGCCTGGAATGACCCCAGGTTTGTCTGCTCGCAGGTGGCTGTAATCATCATGGCTTATTGATCTTAGTGGCCTCCCGGATCATGAGTGCCTGCCTGGCAGTATGGTAAACATGCTACAGTGACGCCTTCCACATCAAACTAACGTTGTGCATGGACCTGGGCAATACTGCAACAACTGCTTGTATTTTTTTTATTATGAGCAAAATTGCACCATTCTTGTCTTGACTTGTCCAATTTTTGTTCCCTTTTGGACTTAAAAAAACTGTCTTTATTTATTATCACGTAACCATGATTCGGGCATAGTTTGTATATCTTACTGCTGGTCGACATAATTATCTTACGCCACGTCGTTTGTATTTTTCAGTTCTTCATTTCCTTCATTCTTCCTCCCATGAGAGAGCAAAGTAGAAAAACGACGAAAAGAAAGAAAACGCCTTCTCGTTGCGTTACACATAATAGTTATACTTAAATGCAAACAGATAAGAAACAACACACCAAAGTATTTACATTTGCCAGCTATTCCTGTAGATGCATAGCAAATAGATATTGCAAGAACCAATTATGTTATCTAGTTATTATTTGAAGTATGGTGACAAATATTTGTCGTCGACATAATGTTATGTAAGTAGCGCTTCGAGGGATAATATGTAGCTAAATAACCCACTACATTTCACTGATAAATTGCAACAATGATCACACGGCAGTTTCACGTTCAGGTGCCAATAAAGTCTCATTCTCCCCCTTCACTGTTTGTGGCGAGTCCGCCGGCTCCTCCGTCGTGTCCGCCGGCCGTTTCTTCCTGAGCCGCAGGAGGAACGGTAAGAGCCCGGCCAGCAGGAAACCGGCGCCGGCTTGGAGGAACGTGGCGTCGTAACTTTGGGTCTCGTCGAACAGCCAGCCTAGACAAACATAAGGAGTTTAGAATTATTTGGTAATACTTGTGCTGCAACGAAAACAAATGACTTATGTTGTTCTGACAGTTTCTCAAGAACCACGAGAGGCTAGAAAGTAGAAACTCGTCTTTTCCTTTCTCTCCGATCTCTGTTATGACCATGGGCAACTGGCGATGATATGGGGATTTTGCTGTTACACGTTTACCAGAGGTATGAAAGTCTGCAAGGACTGTTTCTAGGTTTCTACTGCTTCATAAAGCTTTAATGACGTTCGGAGTCACATTCCTCTACACAAACCTGCAAACGGTGGCCCAGCCAGCGATGCAAACCCAAGTATCGACATCGTAATTCCAATTGCACTGGGAAGACGCTTCGGGCCGACCAGTTCGGCCACACAAGTCAATAACGTCGGAGAAAAAGCGCCGTAGAACGCCCCGTGTGCGATAGCGTACGCCACGAGCGCCG